TGCAGATAATTGACTTCCTGGTTGTCTTCCCGCCTCAAGCGCGGGCCCTCGAACTTATTCGATCCAACAGCAATACCGAAAAAGACATATTCCCGTTGCAAAGACCTTTCAAGGCCTTGTACTCCTTGAATACACTGTCAATGTGTCTCCACGAGGAGGCTGCAGAGGTAGGTTGGCTGGCCGCTTTGATTTGAATGATGCTCGTACTAAATATCGTTACAGATGTCTCCAGACCAATCTTTTGTGTCCCATAGCAATCGGGTCTTGGTCGCGTTCCTGACGTCAGAAGAGCTGTTCAGCTCTCTCTCTGGTAACTCGATTACCACTGTGCTGGCTACTAGAGCCATCGAATGTCTTCTACTGGCTATATCTGGTATGTCGAATATTAAATTGTTTAGCTAATGGGCCTTAACTAACTGTGGCCTAGTCTATCGCCCGACTGATGACGAGTCCGTTCTTATTGCCGATCCAATTACTTTGGTCCGACGCGTTCTTGACCTGCTCGAAATTGGCCGCACGTGTCCCACTGACCCACCGGCTGGTACATGCGCCCAAAGTTTGGTTTGCAGTTCCTTTGCGGTCCTAGTTGAGGGCTCATTGCGCGACATTCATGTCTGGAACGCTGTCAAACAGCACGCGCAGTTTGATGGGTTGATCCTATCTTTGCTCCTGGAAGAAAAGCGAAAGCCAATCCGGACTGATATTCTGGAACGCTTGAAGATAATCTGCGGCCCACTGAAACCGTTTAAGCTGTCAATGCAAAATCTTGATACGGAGTCTCCTGCCGGGGGGAACCCCAACCGGATTGATATGCTTGCTACTCTTTGGTCTTCATTTTTGCAAGTGATACCCAAGACCCTTGAACATGTTCCCCAGTCGGAGGAGTTCTTCAACGCTGCTCTATGGATGTTCCGCGTAGTTGCACAGAAGTCACCTCGGGACTTGATCTTCAACGAGTACCTTCAACAATGGAGTGCAGTTATGCTCACTCACCAAACAGAAGAGGTATATTTATCCCCGAAATACGGATAATCACTGTTTACTAATGATTTTTAGTTTGTTGGGCGTGAGCCGGCAGATAATTTGATCATCGGGCTTTCTGCTTTGTTAGAATGGTGTCTGGAATTGGCCACCACCGCGGGCGTCACTTTGGACACTTTGTAAGTCTCATTTCTCCTCCGTCTAATAAAGTCTACATGCATTTCTAACTGGGGGCTAGGAACATTGCCGAGGACATATTCAACCAATACCTGTTCCCAGATTTCTCTCCAGACACGGTGGAACATGCAGTGCCTCAGGTTCCCGTCATGCACAGCTACACTCGCTCGAGCCTTTACAATGTCGTGAACTCATTGTGCAAACAGAACGATGAGACTTATTGTCAAGTTCTGGAGCTCCTCAACACAAACGTTCCACGAGGTGCGGATCACTGATTTTTGCCCACTGCATTTTATCTTCACATCAAACTAATTGCAACTCTAGACTCCCCTTATCTGGAATATGGCTATAATAGATCGCTAATGCTCCGGTCCCCGGAAGGCTATGCGGGCCTCAAGAATTTCTCGAATACATGTTACCTCAACTCTCTCGTGACGCAGCTTTTCATGAATATTGAGTTCCGAGACTTTATCCTGAATCTCCCCGTTGCTGATCGGATCTCCCAAAAGCTTCTCTATGAAACCCAGCGACTGTTTACATGGATGCAGGAGACCTGGAGCAAGAGCATTGAGCCCTCGGACTTTGTGAAAAGCATTCTCACCTATGACAACGAGGAGATCGATGTGACTGTCCAGATGGATGTTGATGAGTTCTACAACCTTCTGTTTGACCGCTGGGAGGCTCAGGTTCTTGATTCTGAAAAGAAGAAGAAGTTCCGGTCTTTCTATGGAGGGCAGCTTGTTCAGCAAATCAAGTCAATGGAATGCGATCATATCTCGGAAAGACTTGAACCATTCTCTGCAATTCAGTGCGAGATCAAGGGGAAGGCGACTCTTGAAGACAGTTTGCGGGCCTACGTTGCGGGCGAGGTGATGCAGGGAGGTGAGTTAATAATACTACGACCCTAACGGAGCTCGAATTCTAACGAGCTTTCAGATAACAAATATTCTTGTACCTCCTGTGGCCGGCATGTGGATGCCGTGAAGCGGTGAGTGACAATGACATAGTGATACAAACCGATTTCTAACTCCTAATTAGTGCTTGCCTGAAAGATGTTCCTGACAATTTGATCTTCCACCTGAAACGGTTTGACTTCGACATGGTGCATATGCTGAGAAGCAAGATTAATGACGAGTTCCAATTCCCTCACCACATTGACATGACCCCCTACACGGTCGAGCATCTCTCTGATCAGGAGCAGACTATTGCACCGGATATCTTTGAATTGGTTGGGGTTCTTGTGCACACTGGTACAGCCGAATCGGGCCACTACTACTCATATACACTTGAACGCCCTTCGTCTGGCGGTGAAGCAAATTGGGTTGAGTTCAACGACTCCGATGTCAGCAAATTCGACCCTAGCACAATCGCAAGCCAATGCTTTGGTGGCCCGAGTGACACGATGCAGTTCATGAATGGAGCCCCCAAAATCAAGCCCTGGAATGCATACATGCTGTTCTACCAACGTGTGTCCACGATCGAGAAGTCGAAAGAAATCTTTAAGCCAGCGAGACCCGACATCCCTATACACCTGCCGGTGTCAATTTCGACCCAGAACTACATTGCCATGGACAATGAAATGCTCATTCGGATATACTGTCTCCTGGACCCGCAATATGCATACTTCGTGGGCAGATTGCTTCAGCGGTGGCCTGACATGGGAACGGAAAATGTCAACAAGACTAGGGCAGAGTCATTGGCCATCAATGTCGGAATGGACACCATTGAGCAATTGGTCACGCGTACCAAGTATTCACAAGGACACCAGGAGGTTTACAGCGAACTCGTCGACATGATCAACAAAAGCCCCAATGCGGCTCAATCGGTGCTTGAATGGGTTATTAATCGGCCAACCTCGATGTACAATCTCATGATGAAGCCACAGAGCGCAGAACTCCGAAACAAGGGACTTCTGCTGATCAATTATGCCCTAAAACATCTCCACTTGATGTCGACAAGCCAGGATCTCAATGAAGATGAACGGATCTCATGGCGTGACCGATTTGATGAAGCCATTCAGCAAATTGTGCCTATGATGGCTGGCCTCTGGACCGAAGTTCAATCTGCTTTTCGAGTTTGGGATGACTACTTTGGCTTCTTATTGAAGCTTTGCACCTATGGCCCGGAGATCATTCACGTCTTACTCGAGCATGGCCATTTTGCTGCCTGTATGGAGATTCTCTGGATCGATGAAGACGATAGTAAGAAATTGCGGATCCGGTATCCCAACTATGTCCGCCTCTTGAGCAAAGGACGTCGGTTTAACCACCTGATTCTGCTGTCATTGTGCTTGGTCTTCTTCAAACACGTTGACCTTTCGCTCCGCCCAACTCCCATTGGCGGACAACGGCGGTTTTTGAATGGCAAATTCTCCACCAGCACTAGAGAAATGGAACTCATCCACCCCACCGAACCTGATGGGTCCTTGTCTATCTTGTTGAAGCTGCTGAAGCATGAGACTCTTGCGAGGCACCAGACTACTCGCGCGATTATTGGAGTTCTGTTGGACGGAGAGCCTGATGCGGGTTTTCTCACTTCCATTCAATCGACACTGGAAAATGGCGTCAGACTCGAACCCGCCGTCCAGTGCACACCATTCTTGGAGGCAGCCACAACGTTCTGCCAGCGTTGTCCGGATAAGGGGCTAGTCATTGGCATGATCGACTTCATTGCCAAGGGAATTGATAGCATTGACAACAGCGGCGGCCAGGAGCATATGGACTTCTTCATGTGTCTTTGCCGTGGCACTAACGAGCGGCTGAATATGGATTCTGCCGATTTTACCGAGCTTGTTCTCGACCATATCCCGGTCTGGGCCCCGACCTTGCTCATTGATAAGGACGAGTCGGTTCGTCGCAATATGCAGAATATCCTCGAAGAGATGGTCTTCAACGATGATAATATGGAGGGCAACACAGAGGACACCGAACAGAATGACGAATCGCAGACCACCATCACACGAGAGCGACGCCATAACATTTGTCGTCGGCTGCCGAATGCCTGTCTCGAGCGACTCAAGTCGGCATTCCTGGCCGATCAGATCAGTCATATTGACGCCAGATTGCTTGAGAACATTACCCCAGTGATCAACTATTGTCTGGCTACTTTCTATGACGACTCTGAGACGGACCAGCAAGAAGTTCAACAAGCCAATGGTATGCTTGAGTGTACACACTTAGGGTTCTTACAGCCCCACTAACCCAATACTTTCAGAACTCCTCTCCCTGCTTAAATCGATGTCGCTCGAAGAAGTCCCCGATGACCTGCCTTCCGGTATGCTCGAATCTCTATCCCTCCTGAATGGCCCTGGAACATCATCTAACTCGATCCCCCTAGAATCGGACGTAGCCTCAGTCGAGGAATGGGACGCAAACTCGGTGATCGCAAGTGATTCCGAAATGGGAGTCGCTGGATCTCCTTAAGCGATGACATTTCCCGCTGTAATGAATATGCTTTCTGTTGTGTTTCTTTTCCATACGTTCTTGCGATGTCAGTGGATTCAGCGAGCACGATGTGTGCATGTGACTAAAGGCAAATTCTCATACTCACGGATTTTACGAATTCTTGCTGTTGTTTTTATTTTTCATTACGATGATTGTGGTTGTTATTGGCGTTTTCTTCTGCCGGGGATGAGCCGGAGTAGGATTTATTTCTATGAAGGGTGACATTGGACGGATAGGTCATCTACATGCATTTCGCAAGCCCATTTCCGAGCATTGAAATGAAAGAGTTTCGGGTCTCGAGACCTAAGTCTTTGAGTGGATTGCATTCAACAAAGTTCGTAGCGCATTATTGTTCATTCCGTTCAATGATGGAGTAATACGTAGATATCTTTTGTTTGATTAACCCTCGGCTTCTCCGCGAGCTGGGGCATCTGCCTCATCTTCTGATTCAACCTCCACGGCAGCAAGTGCATCCTGCTGAGCCCGTGGAGGGCCGCGAGCTCTGTTACCAGCTTTGGGGCTGCTGGGGTCAGCAGCGGTAGGTGCAGTTGCGAGTTTAGCCGCGGGAATGCCCCCAGAAGTAACATAGAGGAAGTAACCGGCGGGGAAATGATCGATATGGTTGAAGAAAGAACCAAAGCTGTAGTCAAAAGTCAGTATTGTTGTCTTGCGAAATCAAACGAGGGTATTGATTGGAATGATATCATACCCAGCACTTTGCTCCTCCTCCCGGAAAATCCGATCATAGATCTCCCGCTGCTTGAACTCATTCATCTCCGCCTCAAACTTCTGGAAATTGATCGGCTGACGGTCAAGACCCTGTGCCTTGTTATTGTAAGCATCGAAAATAGGACGCTCAAGCAAGAGACCCAAACCAGGCGCTTTAGGAATAGCAATGCGCTCAGGACCATATGTCTCAGTGATCCGATCAGGATGGCAGCCCGAGCGAACAACCATCGTAGCCATGGCGACCATCTTGCGAATCTGGTGCATCATGAAACTCTGTCCATGGACCTTCAGACTGAGCCATTCTGTGCCATCGATGATAATCGGCGTAGTGTTCACCTTAAATGACTTTATGTGTCGTTTCGCCGAGGGGTCGTTGTGCGTCTTCTGGATCGTGTAGTTGTGGAAGTTCTTCGTACCTTCGTAGCGATCGAGACATTCTTGCAGGCGCGCGATGCGTGAAGCGGGCGCGCGGTAGGCGCGTTTTGCGGTTAGGTATGCTGCTTTGATGGACTTGATGGCGTCGTTGATGGCCTTTTGGCGGGGGTCCATGACAAAAGGCTTTGGGGCCTCTCCATCGGCCGGTTGTTCAGCTACGGGCTGTTCGCTGGTCTCCTGCTGCACGGACTCTTCGGCTGGCGTAGAGATGACTACCTCCTTCTCTTCTGCGGGTTGGAGTGCATCGCGGCCCTCGTCCTGGTAGAGAGACTTTTCGACGATGCTGCGAATGTTTTCCGGGAGGGCTTCTAAGATCGGCTTGATGTACTTCTGGTCAACGTCTTCCCAATAGCTTGCGACCTCTTCCTGCCGAGCTGTGACGGCATCCAACTCGCCTGCCTTGTCGGCAAGCTCGATGATTTTCTTCCCAAGATAGGTGCTTGGGTGAGGCGGGAGGAGACAGTGGCTTGGCATCAAATATTCGTAAACCCGGGAATCACACATCTGGTAACAGCTGAAACTTTTGCTGGTAATTTCGTAGCCCCAAACACGGATTTGGGGGCTGAGCTCGGCGTTGATTCTCTGGATGATATCCTCGTCTTCGACGATCATCTTCAGCGACACAACATTTCCAGCTGCGTGGACACCCTTATCTGTGCGGGCACAACGGACGAAAGAAGATTTTTTGGGATCCGCTGCATTCGCCTTGGAAACCGCGCCGACGTTGACGAGGGCCGTGAATAGATCACCTTCAATGGTGCGTTGTTGCTCGTTCCTATACCATACCTTGTCAGCACAATGAATGGCCATACACTGCGCAAGAAAAGACTTACAACTGCATTCCGGAGTATCCAGTGCCCGAGTATCCCATCAGAAGCGCAACCTTCTTTTTGGGGCGGCGCTCTTCGCTGTCGATCTCCTCCTTGGAGAATTGGGTCGCGTAGATTGGCAAGTTGACCTCTTCGCCGTTCTCAATCTTGCGACGCTTGGCTTCGGCTTTGTCTTCATGACGCTGACGCTTGTCTATCGCTTGGCGACTTAATTAGTTAGCTGACAATGCGATGAATGGGAGGTTACAATTGATGCGCCGTACCTCCATTCCGCTCGCCCCATATCGCGGTTCTTACGCCTTTCACCACCTCTGCCTCCTGTTCCTTTGTTGTCGGCCATTGTATCCGCTGGAAGACCTCTGATAAATTTGTATAAGGTGCAGACGGGTCGCGCCAGAAAGATCGGTAAAATTGACGACTAACAGCGTGGTTCTGGGTGTTTTGAGGGAGTGATCGAATCAGAATTGAACTCCTGGGTGCTGTTACGATCCCAAAAAGGTTCCGCTGGTGAATGATCGAGGCACGCATGAAATCAATGTTTCGGGGAAATTTGTCCTTCGACTCCGCGTGGTTCATCTTTTCCATGATCTCGGCACTAGTCCTATAATAGCCTAGTGTGTGGATAACCCAGACTAGCCATATCGGGTCACATTCTCGCCTGAGGAATCAACTTTGCATGTGACGTGAAGCTCTGGGCATTGAACCGGAAATGTATCGCTCATTGTTCACTCACTAGCTCAGCGCTGCCTGTCGCTCAAGCGTAACTCTCACTTTCGTCGTGGACCCCCTCACTCATTTCGCTGTCTTTGATCGAAGCATGCTTATTTTGTCCAATATTTGAATACTGCGACTTCTCGCCTTGCGCTCCAGTTAAATTCTCTCCCGGCCTTCTTCCCGACGACAATATTTTACTCCAGAGCTTCTGCAACCATGGATCTTTCAAAGACGCTTATCCGAACTGTCGCGCGTGCTTTTTACGAGACCCGCCACATTTTGGTTGTCGATGCGCTATTCCTACATTCAGTGTATGATGAGAGTTGATCTCTGTTGAATGGGCACATTGCTGACCAGCTACAGTCTTCATGCTGAGGATCTCGCCTTCCTGATGGGAATGCAACAGAAAGATCTTCGCAAGCTTTGCGCCAAACTTCGAGAGGATCGTTTGATCGGAGTGTATGCCACTTCTCCCTGATGTGATCTACGACCAACGGTGGATAATACAAAGCTGATCTAGTTCTCTGTTGAATATAGGAGCACACGCGCCGAGATACGTGATGGGTCTACTCGCCCAGTCAACCGCGAATACTATTACATCCCTCTACACCCGGTGGTCGATGCGATCAAATTCAAAGTCTCCAAGTTGACAGCCATCATCAAGGCGCAGTACACACCGAGTGAGGAGCGCAAGGAGTACATTTGTGTACGATGCAAATCAGAGTGGACTGAACTGGACGTACTGAGTCTGGTCGGAGATGAAGGATTCGAATGTCAAAATTGCGGCGCCATCCTGGAACGGACGGAGGATGTCAAGGGCGCGGAAGGAATGGACCGTACGGGCCACGAGAAAAACAGTAAGCTTATGGCACAGCTGGATAACATGCTCAAACTGCTCAAGCAGATTGACTCGGTGGAAATCCCGCCGAATGACTTCGAAACAGCGTGGGATCACAAGGTGGAGGTAATCCGGAATCAGAACACACACCCAGTCCGTGCCGCGATTGCTGTTCCACCCAAGGCCCAGGACATCACACGTCCCAATGCCAAGACGGATGCCGCTGCACTGGAGATCTCTCTCACCTCGAGTGAAGAGAAGAGTGCCGCCGAGCAGGCCGATGAGGCCGCTCGCAAAGCAGCACTCGAAAAGCAAAATGCACTTCCAGTTTGGCACACACATTCTACGGTCAATGCCGCCCAGGTTGGCAGTGCTCAGATCAAGACCGAGGTGGGTTCCTTGGTGAAGCCCGAGCTTGCGGATGAGGACCAAAAGCCCAGCGTCGATGCCTTGGATGACAAAGTCGCCGCTTACTACGCTGAAATGGAGCGGGAAAAGGCGCTGCAAGCCCAGGCAGATGCCAGCAGCGCAGAGGATGACTCAGACGAGGAAGATTTTGAGGACGTTGAGGGAATCTCCGGTCCAAGCGGACCGAGTACGCCCGCCATGGCTGGCGGCGTTACAAGTGCCCCTACCACATCTTCTGTCGCTGGCATTAAACGTGAACTCGAACCGACCTCCAGTGTCCCGACCTCATCTGTTGGGACTCCGTCTACCCCTGCCGACGATGGACCTGCAGCAAAGAAAATCAAGGTCGAACCTGATATCAAACCTGATCCTGATGCCAAAATTGAGCCCGAGGTCAAGAAGGAGGCCGAGGAATCCGATGAGGATGAGGATGAATTTGAAGATGTATAATGAAACCATAAAAAAAAGCCAACATTGGCGCTGGCGCCGAATAATTATGGCGGACTGTGAAGCCCTGGAGGCTTGCAACATCACTGAAATCGCGCATAGCCATAGATTTGCATTTTACTCAATCCTCAAGACAGAAAATGAACACTGTTACTTTTTTTTTTTTGACAACGACAAGCACACTAGATTTTAGCCTTTATAGAATCCTGATAGTATCGTTCGATGACTCGTCGTGTCCTCTCATCCCTCTCGGCAATATGGTTCATCACCGAGTAGATGTCTTCCGTTCGACTTCGCAACTGCTCTCCTAAATTGAGCTGATTGAACAGTTGCAGCTCTTTACAGGTTTCCACCAAGGGATGTCGGCTAAGAGCGATAGTCCTATCCTCATAAAATTCGAAAGAAGACCCAAAGATTACATAGAACCGAGCCAGCGGATGTTGCTCATCGGACTTCCAGTCTATGTCTTTCCAATTCAAATCAATATTCCTCGGCACGCGCCGAAGTGAAATTGCCGACTCCCACCAGTTGATGAATTGATACCGTGCTTGTTTCCCGCTGACTGCATGAACACAACCGTTAGTTCCCACAGCCAAATGGGCGAGCAAACGATCAACAACTACATCGACTGGAACCTCGTCAACGAACAGGCGAGAGGTTTGTCCAACTGCTTTCGTTGCAACAGTAGCCATGCCACCAGGGGCCAGTGCAATTACAGCAGCGGTTAATGTCGACGGGCTCGATAGGGGCACGTTGTACCCAGGATTTGGAAAATTCTGTGCCGGTCCGATGATAGAAGGGCGCACAATAAGTAGCTTTTCCTTGACACCGCTCTGAGCGAAGCGATAGAGAAGAAGCCGCTCTGTCAGGTTCTTTGCGTATGCATACGGCCAGGGGAAGTCGTGGGCTTTATACGCATCGCTAGAGCCAGTCTCTTGCACCTGTGTCCATTCTTTAATGACATCTAAATGATCGTTGGGATTAGGATCATAGATGTCTTCTTTGATCTCGACTTCGATGCCTTCTCCAGTGGGAGGTAGGTAGGCATTGGAATATGCAGTCGAGACATAAACAAAGCGATCCAGACTCGGGCAGGTCAGAGCAATGTCTGTGATTCTTTCGCTGGCTCCGGTGATCACTTCCGATAGTTTATCGAGGGACTTTGAAAGATCTATAGAGGATGCCGAGTGAATGATGACATTGACTTCCCGTTGAAGTGTGTTCAGTTCGTTCTGGGAAAGTCCGAGGTCGGGGAAGAGGATGTCACCGCCCATGACTGTGATGCGATTGGTGCTAAGAAGCCTTTCTACTATTGCCGATGATAGTGATGTTGTCCATTTTGATCGAAGTTTTCTATAGTTCGAGCTGTCAATTATATTTCTCCCAAGGTTTATGGGCTAAGATTTGGGGATGAACTGACCCTATACCTCCTCTGCACAGAATATATACATGACTCACAGATGTTTGCGTGAGCAAGCGATATACAACAGCAGTCCCCAGGAAGCCAGTTCCACCCGTGATGAAGATGGTTTTGTCATTGTAGTAGTCCCACATTTTGTATGGAGACTGACATGAAGTCAGATCTCGCACAAAAGATTGTAAAATGAGATTTCTATTTATCTAACTTGGGAAATGTCCTCCCTGCTTGGATTCAAGATTTAGGGGGTTACATTTGAGTGAGGTACAAGCCCCTGCGTCCTGCATTCCAGTCACTCTCCTCAATGTGCTACGTCGTGACTAGACTCGTCAACTTACGGTGTAGAGCAAATTCCGATTACAATATTCCCTGGGTCTTTCCCACAGAAATATCCTTGCTTTTAGCAATGCTGAACAGATACCTTGTATCGGGCTAAACGCTGATCATTGTAGATGGCTTCGGATTCAACTTCTAAATTATAGCTAGGACTTCTTCCTGTCATTTACATATTACTATCACTAATGCAGTCATTAACTTTTATTTCCGCCTAGTCAATCGCACCGGCACACCTCCGGTCTTTCCCGCATCATATATACCCTCCATAACTAACGTCATCTTAGGAATACAACTGCTCATCACTTTATCCAGCCTCCGCTCAACATCCTTCCGTTGCTCCCCAGCAAGTGGAACGGCATCTATACGGTGATACTGTAAGAGTTTGAGTATGACCGCCACAAACTCAACCTGCGCCATCTTTCGCCCCGGACAAACGCGAGGGCCATAGCTCGACGGAAGGAAATATCCTTTCAGCGGTTGGTATAGCCGTCGCGGAGTCGTGTCAGGATTGACCCAGCGAGAAGGCCGGAAGGCGGATTCGTCAGAGGGTACTTGATCATCGTCCGCGACCCATGATGGGTCAGAACACCGGTTGATATTGGGCCACACTTCTGGATCAAGATGTAGTGCAATAATGTTAATAGTCACGTCAGAGTTGGCTGGGAGGTAAATCACGCCCTTGGATGTCTTCAACTCTTGTGGTGCGTCATTTGTCCTCAGCATGCGGATAATAGGTGAGTATAGTCGCAGTGTTTCGAATATAACCGCCATGATGCGCGTCACTCGAGGAAGAACGGAAGTATACTCTATGTCTTCTCGCACGTCTGTGGGCATTAGGTTGTCGACCTCTTCAAAGAGCCACTCCTGCCATTTGGGATATCGGACAAGCAGAATTATCGCGTAGGAGATAATGTTTGCTGTTGTTTCAAAGCCCGCTGCTGTGAAGAGGAAGAGGTTGCCATTTAACTCTTCGCTGAGGCTATCGTCCGTATTTCCTTGTTCAGCTGATGCTTGAAGCAGTTGGCTCATTATGTTGCTCCTTCTTAGAGCTGTCTTGTCCTTGCAAGTACGTTGACGCTCTTTATCAAGTAAGCTTTTGGTATGCATCGAGAACTCGCGCTTGCTAATTCCTAGCTGCTTCAAACTCTAATGCCCCGGCAACCAGGATGGCCAGTTCAAAAGAATACTGGTTGGGATAACTATCGGCCCAGTAACAGCGCCCATGACCGCCTTGGAGGCTTCAACATATGTTGTTTCAAACCCTGGCTCAAGTTTCTCATCATCTTGACTCCTCCACGGAGCCTTTGCACCCATACCAGCCTCGCTTAGCACATGGATTGTGACTCGCCTGATCATATCGAATAAGTCATTCGACTCCACAAACCTCTTCTTTTTCTCGAAAGCAGCGAGAAGAAGCTCATCCAGCATACCCGTAGCCTGACATACAGTCGCATCGAAGATAGTCTTAGAAATGCGCTCGTTGATCACACTCGCAACAACCTTGCGCTGCTTCGCCCATCTGGCGCCATTTGTCGTGAACACATTATGTCCAAACTGGGCGAAAAGTAGGCCAGTGATGGTTGGGATGTTGAAATCACCTGTACGTTGCAGAACCTCCGAAGCGACGACTGGATCTGCTGTCCAAAGTTCCAGTATTCCACAAGTGGCAAGAAAGAATGACCTGTCGTTGCCCTGCGGGGCTGCATATTCATCGAACGGACGATGCTTCTCATAGAATTCCCAGCCATAGATCACTAGCGTGAGACGATTGTAGATCCGCGTGGGGAGAGTACGTCGCAGCCATGGACGCAAAGGGACAGATGCCAATAACCAGATGATGTTGTTTTGATTTACCGGGTAGACCAGAAATGGCAAGCCAATACTTCTTGCAGCGTTGATGTTGTGTAACAGCCGACATACGAAGGTCAAGATGTACACTAGCATTAGTGCGCCGATGATGCCGATGTACACGGGCATTTTCTGAATTTGAGACAATTCAAAGTCGGCCTAGCAGAGATAACGTACGAAAAAAAGTGAGGATTCCACACTAAAAGACGTACCTTTGCCAAATATCCGAGTGTCAGGCGTGAAAATACTCGGCGTATGAGTAGCAACTTCACACATAGGTCTGTTCGATGTAACCCACTAGCCGAAATATATTGCCGGAAGGCGGGATAATATGGATCACTATGCAAGGTATTTTTCAAGATCTGGTGATGTAGTTGACAAGACATGATGTGGATATATATTATCTTCCGCTTGGGGTATTTCTTTACTGAAAATGGCCATCAAGGTGAAACTAAGCAAAGTCGGAAGATATTCTGTTTTTGTCCAGATGGAACCTGTTATACGATCTAAATCATTAGATACATTATAATTTATACTAAGAATGAAACAGAGTTTCGTTTTAGGGCTCCTTTCTACATAAAGCCTCCCAAGAAAGGTTCTATAGCAGCCAACTCTAACATCATCAGAAATTGGATCGTCGACCACCTTACAACCTTGAAATGACATTTATTTCGGTTAACTGAGATGCCATGTAACCTGAATCAGTCATGATTTCACACAATACCTATGCTATCATGTTAATCACATCGATAATAGTCACCATACGCATTGGTTGATCCTCCCTCGAACGAATTTCCGCGATAAAATGAGTTTGGATTGTATCAGTCATGGAACTGGATTGTGCGAGACCTCTCAATTTTGAATGAACAACCTGCATGACGAAAAATAGTTTAGATCAGTGACTGACATATTTCAGGCCATTACTCACCGGAGGCCATCACGAAATTTCTCATGTTCGAAGTATGGAGACTGTTAGAATACGGAAAAGGTTAGGTGACGCATGCCCGTAAACAACTTGGTGCTAGCTGAGTCTAGTGGATAAATCCAGTGCGTTTCCATTCCAAATCTTTGGGGTTTGTATCGGCAAGCATTGGGTTGCACTGGCGTACTTTTGTGCAAGTCAACGGACACGGCTGATTGGATTGTTCTCCGCGTACGATAGTGAGGAAATTTATCAGTTAGAACCCTTCGTTGCACCTTGCAGTGCCGTATATATACCCAATAAGAGGGGCTTAAGATAAATAAATAGACGGGGCAGAAGGAGGGGTCGCTGACACTTTGGAAGATAAACTAGGACAAGCTAGGTAGCTCTCGGATAACGATACATATGCAGTAACTCTTTCCCTCGCCGAATATTGCCATCTCTATGGTGTAAAGGAACAATCTATCATGGTTTGGCTAAACATGAGATTCCTACGTCTCAATTTAGATATCCTTGGAGTCATGACGATGCTTTTGGCAAAATGGTCAGCCGGGTACATATTCACTCAAGTTCGGAGTTTCTTATGTTTTCTTTTCGAATTATATATTCAATGCCCAGGTTTCCCATCATTGGCTTTGCTAGCATGGAAAATAAATATTAGTATAACACGATGGCGACTACACAATTCTGCCTATTCTTATTGGCAGCCGCTGGTCTTTACGGATTAGGCCGAGTTGTATACAATGTCTTCTTCCACCCACTGCGAAACTTCCCAGGACCTTGGATGGCTGGGGCCACATCTAGTTGGAAGGCATATAAGGAAGTTATCAAGCAAGAGTCGGCCGTTCATGAGCTCTTTCATCTCCATAAGAAATACGGTATGATGAGTTTAGGGCTATGAGACATTGTCTTTAACATTCCTAATAGGTGATATTGTCCGCGTTACCCCGAACGAGGTAAGTTGTCCTAAACCCAACAGTCTACACTTCCCTCTCTGGGTTATAGGGCTCAAACAGATCTGAACACTCACCTATCACAGCTCCATTTTGGAAGCCCAGGTGCGTTCCACGATATCTACCATAGCAGCAAGAGGTGGGACAAGGATACGGGTCTTTACCGAACCCCCGGGGTTTCATCCGGGTCATTCACATTCTTGAAGTATGCTCAGGCGAAAGAACGACGGGAGGTGATTCTTCCAATTTTCTCCAAGAAAGCCATTAATAATCTTGAGCATCTCTTGTGGCGAAACGTGAGTAGTATATTGCTTTATTTCCTTTTGCTACCAAACTATATATCTGAACGATCGCTAAATCACCGGTTACTAAACAGGCAAATCGCCTTGCAACGTCCATCGCCAAAATCAATGCATCAAAAACTTCCATCGATCTACTCTATGCATTCCGATCCTATACTCTCGACACCATCATGTGTTTCACATTCGGCAACTGCATAAATGCCCTTGATGCACCGGAATTCAGCGATCCTCTGATTCTAGCCATGGATGCAAGCCTTCGAATGCTGCCATTCATGAGGAACTTCCCCATGATTCGAGACCTCATCTTTGCTGTGCCGCCGGCCCTGGTTATGCGCCTCATTCCGAATGCCCAGAAATTAGCACCGCGACTGTACCAGGTCCGGGATCTTGTGCAGCAACAACTTGAAGTCGTCCTAAACCGCCCTTCAACCCTCGATAATGTGCCGCACGAGACCCTCTTCCACCGTATGCTCGACCCGGAATCATACCGGAGCAAGGAGGTCCTGAATATGACAGAGCTACACGACGAAGGCTTCACTCTCATCTTCGCGGGCGCCAACACAGTAGCCGACACGCTGCTAATGGGCCACTGGCACGCAATGCAGAACCAGAACTTGCTAACCCAACTGCGAAGCGAGCTATTGACTGTCTGGCCCGACGTGGAAAAGCAGCCTTCCCTAGTAGATCTCGAGACCCTACCCCTCCTCACGGCAACTATCAAAGAATCCCTCCGCTTTATTCCGTCCGGTGTGTCACTAACACGCGTCGTGCCACCAGGAGGCGCCATGATATCAGGGGAGCATATCCCCGGCGGAACAGTGGTCGGGATGGCGATTTTGCATGTGCATCAAAGCGCGGAAATATGGGGTAAGGATGCGCTTGTGTTCCGACCTGAACGGTGGCTGGAGAGTGCGGAGCAAGAAAATACCCGGAACGGGAAGAGTGAATTGGATCACTGGCTCGTTCCATTCAGTCGGGGTCCGCGTATGTGCTTTGGTATGAACTTGGCCTGGGCGGAGATGTATATCACTTTCGCGACTATGATCAGAAATTTTGACTTGACTATTGACGGCACGACAGAGGAGGATATGCAGTGGCGGGAGTGCATTGCAGCTTATTATCCTAATAGGCACTTGCATGCGTGGTGCCGTCCAGTTGGCTCTGGGAATATGATGTAAAGAGGGTGTATATAGGTTTGTGGCGTGACACAGGATTTAGTGTCCCCAGACAAACAGAGATTATGATTAGGAGACGGGAAATAGGACAGCACACCAGAGAGATGGGTATTATCATGCAGTGTTGACAATAAATACTATTTTGCATACATGAAGGACAAATTTCCACCGGACATATGCTGTATTTCAAGGGCTTGAAGCACCCGGCCCTTTAAGAACCAGTCTTGCAGGTCAAACCCATAAGCAAACATGTAAACACCAGACTATCGAGGATATGTATTCGATACTATCCCTATTTATGAGTTGTAGTATCGTCATCACTAGGCATTGAGTGTGAGAAAGCCACAGAACTGAGGGTGTTGGAAGAAAGAAAGATTGTTGCCTCCCTGGTATTTCCTTTTTGCTAACATATCAGGCGAGCGTCCGTTCGGCTTCGATAACTTCCATTAGGTAAGGGATATTGTAAAGTCCGATATATTGATTTACGATGTTCACACTCTCAAGTTTCACAGAGTAAATACTACGTGATGGGACTCAGACAGACTGATATATTCAAATTGTCACCAAAAATATTACTCTGATAAGCTGAGCTGGGACTGTCACGTCTATTCAAAGTATCTATTCAAAGTGAATATGTTGAAGTTCCCTGAGAGCGATGTTTACTCTGTTTGCTGTGCATGTTTCTTCTGATTGTAGCTACCTCTCAGATATCACCCTAAGTATTTTGACAACCGTCTTGTTGTTCTGCTGAGTTTATGTTTACACTTTTTCTGAGGTGAATGAGTTCCATCTTCTCTACAGCTAAACAAAAGACCTAGTCCCCCGGGTCTAGGCCACAATTCGTGGGATATCTTTACTTCAGTGCTCGGAAGGCTTCCATTTATTCCTTTAGTTTCCTGATATAGTGTGATGCTAGTGTAGAACATGAGGAATAAAGCGTGGGATTTCTTGGGAGTACGTTGATAAGCTATAGCAACCCCCGAAACATCAGATTACTTGATATGAGGTGGATAGGTGATCATTTATCCCCATGGGTCTTCCATAGCTTCTCCCCTCTTTCTCCTCCCCTGTATGACAATTCTTTACTCTAGGTTTCGTCTGCATCACGCTTAAAGCTACCATAGGGCAAATCCTCTTTCGTGCCGTAACTCCATCTCATGTGAGAAATCCAGGCATCGTGCCCCGAGATAATAGCACACTTCGCAGATATCAAAGTCCCCTCCACTACAAATGATACAATAGTAGAAAGCCTCGCCCTTCAATATATCAACACCACAAATATCACAAAGTACATGCACCACCGGTTGAGAGGTGGCTTCAACTACTGGCCCAACTGTCACTTGAGAGCTTGTCTCGGAAAATGTCTCAAGGGCTTTCACCACATCAAATCTCTTTCGCACAATAGCGTCGGATAGTGGTGTGCGACCGAACTTATCTTGAGCTTCAGAATCCACACCATCGCTTTTCAGAAGTGTAAGAACTGATTGTAAATGACCGCGGGTTGCAGCAACATGTAGAGGTGTTCGGCCATGTAGATCGGGCTGGTGAATGTTCCTGATATTAGTCGAAGTAAAAAGAGCAGTCAGGTTGTTATATCTGTTCTCCGAGGCTGCGTAGAAAACCACACCACGACTATCATTGTCCTTAGTGTTGGTGTCGGCGCCCTTCTCTAGGAGGAGCTGAATCACTGCTTCTGTATTCCTACACCTTGCTGCGTGACTCAGTGCGGTCAGACCCTTGTTGTCTTTGATCTCCAAATCAACACCCAACTCTAACAACAGTTGTACTACCGACACATTGGCTGATGCTGTTGCGTGCATGAGTGGGGTCATATTGCGAAAATGGAAATTATTGGGATCAGCACCCCTGTCCAAGAGAAATTGAACTATTGCCTCATTGCCATTCCGCGCCGCCACCGTCATCGACGCATCCAATTCAATATCTTGGGTATCAATATCCCGATTCCAGTCAATAAAAAGCTGCACCAGATTCAAATGACCTTCTAAAGCCGCTAGGAATAACGGAGTGTGGCCTCTGTTATCTTTTGCATGTGCGGCAAGCCCTTGCTTCAAAAGAAAACGGGTAACCTCCTCTGATCCACTCATGGCTGAAGCATGAAGTAGGGGTCGACCCACATTGTCATACAGCAAATCACCGTTTGCTTCGAGTAGTAACTGCAGTACTCGTTCATGACCGCACCTGGCTGCAAAAAACAGGGATGTTGTGCCTCGGTTGTCCTTGATGTTCGGATTTGCGCCATTTTCTAGGAGTAATGTGACGGCATCCGGGTGGTTCCGTTGTGCTGCCCATGACAAAGGGGTCATTCCAGCAGCATCCACGCAGTCCACTGAACCGCCAACTGAAATCAACTTTCGGGTCACATCAAGCAATTCAAAGTAAGCTGCAAGATGCATACCTGTAGCAAGCTGCGTGGTGATTAGTGGATAGCCATTATTCTTAATATTGGCCTCGTATGGGGGGAGCCGGCGATCAGCGGAGCACATGAACTGCACACAGGAGCTGACTTTCGGTCCGTCTAGCAGCAGTGCAATAATTGCTTCCTCATCTATAGATGCTTTCCCGTCCGCTTCGCACTCTTGGATATGACTACCCCAGAAAGAAGCTGCATAAAGTACAAAGGGATAGTCATCTCTGCGCGATATGAAATCTTCCTCTGTGTGGCAATGTCCTGTTTTGAAAATACCATATGACAAATATGTCACGCAGATGCCGCCAATATAACAGCTTGCATTTGGGAACCAAGTTGATTGATTGCGCTGGAAGAATTCCTGGGTTGTATAATGCACTAGTCGAATGACGTCGCTTTGTTCATCGATCGTCACTAAGCCGGCACAGACTGAGACTATGTCAATTAGATCGGAGAGATTGCCCTCCTCAAAGTCTGGTTCGTTTATTTCGACTGCTAGTGCAATTTGCAGCTCCACCGTAGTGAGCGGTCTCTTAGCACAAGTAACCCATGCGAGAACTTGCATGGCCAATTCTGTTTTATCAGACACCTGTCCTTGGATTCGTTTCATTGCAGCGCCATAGGCGGAATCGTATTGATTTGTACTTGAAGATATGTCTTTCAACGCGGATCTGATTGCTTTTGGTGACCTTTTCCCGACCAAAGAGTTGAGGTAAAGCTGGGCGAGGAGGAACCTAGGTTCTTATGTTAGAGGACTGCAAAATATTCTTGGAGTTTTCTTTTAGCACTCGCTAATGATTCACTCACATCCCATCTACAGCTCTAGTTATCTCCGTTGAAATCTCCATTTGCAATTCCGGATTTCGTGAAACAAATGCTGGGAGAATTTCCAAATTTCCCTGAAGATATCGCATGACATCTGCCGTGCTAGCACGGATCTCAATCGTTGGCTTCTCTTTGAACATTTCAGTTATTTCAAGAATAACCCGGGAAGTAGCGAGAAAGTTTATGTTGCAAGCATCTTGAAGTTCGAAGATCGCATGCAAGAGTTTTGTTCGCGATCCATCATCCACCCGACACTCATCCAAAGCGTCAATTACAATGTAAACCTTTGCAAAGTCGCTTTGCTGTGATAGTTGTTGTATGGTCTTGCGTATTTCACCCATTGAAGGTCTTATTCCTTTAGTCACATGTTTAGCATACATCTCTTGGATGCTACTAGGCAACGACGACTGTGACTGCGCCAATTGTTTCAAAATGCTTGATAACATTTCGACAGCGCTTTGCTCATCGTGCCGCTTAAAATTGCAGTAGAGATATACAATAGCAATGTCCTCACTTCCATTTCCGCATCGATCATAGAGCTCATCGATCACGATCGACGCTAGAATTGTTTTCCCGGCACCTGGAATACCAGGACAGAAAAGCGTTTGTTTTGAACCGGAGATCCAATCTTCAAATTCAGATGAGTCCAGAAACCACTGCCCAGTACCTTCCTCGCGTCGACCAATGTAATCACTTTGCTGAGTGGCATAATTTGACGGCGAAATCCAATCAAGGATTTTCTGGCGCTCTACCTCGTCTTGATGCTGCACCAGTTTTCCCACGCTGCGTTTTATTATTTGTCCATTGAATGCAGTCAGGAGTGCGATATTGGTGCTTATTCGAAGGCGGAGTTCTTGGATGTCGCTTGGTTCCCATTTCAGGCGTTTCCACACCCGCTTGGTGATGTTTCGTTTTGCATCATTTGTTGGCGACAGCTCCGTGTAGTCCTCAATTTTCTTCAAAATGTCGGCAAGGGCCTCGTTGCAACCAGTTGATATCTCTTGTAGCTCAGCCTGTTGCTGACTGCTAAGCTCCTTTGCGGATATGTCGATCTCTACATCCTGTAGTACGAGAGAGAGGCTTCTGACTCTGTTAACAATTTTTGTTAGTACACCAGGTATAGCGGATTGGGGTAGGTAAAATTGAATTTAGGAGGGACTTACTCATTAGAAATGCTCTTAAATTGAATAGGCGCATCGACAAATGCTTTTCGAGTCTTGTTAGCGAGTTGGATAACCGCGAGGAAGTCCCCGATACCAAACCCAAAGCTCATCTTGACAATCAATAGCGAGAACGTAGAGGGCCAGATAAGAAGGGTTGGGGAATTTGGGGAGCCCAGAGACGAAACTAGGTTGTTGGATATGCAGGAGAAAGCTCAGCCTCATTTGAAGGCGGGGTTGGGTCGACACGCAACCAGCAACGCAGCCCGTAACCCCCGCACTAACGATTGGCCAATTTGGGGTGAGATAACGTGGTAATTTGTGGAAACTAGAGTATATTTGGCTTGATATAAAAACACAAGGCATTCTATGCAACTATGCTCCACGGGTAGATTTGCGGCAATGACCAAGGTGGTGGTGTCAGCTTCGGGTTGTGATACAGATATAGTAGACTATTATACCGTGTTAAATGAAGGCGAGGTACGAAGGGTGGAGCAGCGAGAGTTGGCAAATTGGAGGTATTTATGATTATTGGGGCTGGTCTTGATAACGCCGTGTCACGAAGAGCAACCCGAGGACAGGCAGAGCGATATGTCGAGACTGAATAGAAGTACATGAATCGCCAATCACCTGGCGTCCCTGACTTCCAAGGTTATTTCGCAGAGACACTAAACTAATAAAGTAAAACATACTTCGGCAAGATATGTTAAGCGAAACCAGATTGTATACACAACATAACCCTGTTTCACCTAGGAGCAAAATCAGAATCACCGCTCTCCTCCTCCGCCTTGGCAAGACTCTGCTCCTTCGTGAGTGTCGGGTTACGAATAACCAGGGCGAAGGCAATCAAAGGGACTGTCAAGCAGATACCCGTGATACACAGCAGACGTTGTGTCTTTTGATAGGCGAGAATAACGTTGTCTCGGTCGGGCGTACCGACAGGGTTGGCCGCTGCAAAGTCCAGAGGCTTCGCATAGACATACGCAGCGAGGGTTTCATTGCCCAGTCTATAACTCAATTCAGAAGGTAAGACTTGGTTCCAGATTGCACCAGAGATTGTGTTTCCAAGTGCGCTGCCGACATTGTAGGCGGCGAGGTAGAGACCAGTGATCACAGCGAGATCTATGGGATTGTTAGCACTTGAGTTGGTTGTTTAATAGGACAAAGTCTATTAAGGAACACTAACTTTCGTGTTTAGACGCAACCTGGATGCTAGCTTGAGCTGGGTAAGGGAACATTCCACCAGCTGGGAATTTTGTTAGATATGTTCAACAAACCCTGGAGCGCAGACGATAACTTAGACAATAACTTACCAATACCGAGCAGAATTTGCGCACCGATGACACCGGAATGACTGGAGCTCGCAACACCACCCCGGAAATAGATGAGGATTCCGAACGCAACCATGAAGAGAAGGGTTCCGGCCACGATGAAGGGCTTCAATTGGCGAACCTTCATGACGATGAGGCCAAGGATAATACCTGTGATAACGGAAACAAAACTGTAAAGAGATGCGATCCGAGTGGCACTGAGAACTGATTCGTTGAAGCTCACGTAGAGCACCGTGTATAGGAAATCTCCTTGCAGGTACCACGCTAAGATAATGTTAAATCTCGGCCATGGATGGTAATATTGAAGAACCTACCAGTGTTGAGCATAATAGGAATTCCAAGGGCGCCCCAAACAGCACGATCTTTGAGAAGCTAGAACCGGAGCGAGTCAATAAAAGCCATGAGCGTGGCTTGGAATATTTGACTTACCTTGAATGGCAACATCGGGTATTGGCAGGTTCTCTCCCAGAAAACCCAGACCGGGATCAGCAAAACACCAATGACAAGTGGCGCAATCACCTTTGCCGTCTTCCACTGTGAGGTTACACCTCCAGCGAGGGTGAATGGAACAAGAATACACGCCATCATACCAATCAACAGAATGTTACCAACAATGTCCAGATGCCAGAACAGTTCTACAGCCAGCTGCCTTTTTCCAAGTAACTGCATAGAGCTCTTGTAGGATTCAAGAGCTCCATCCTTCTTCGCACGTCGCTGGACGATGAAAAGGACTGTAAGAAGCGGGATAGCACACACGGGATAGATAATAGCAAACATGCCCATGCCCCATTGCCAGTTGGTGACCTTGAGAACCGCAGTAGTCAAGTTGCCGCTAATCCAGGTATTTATCTAAAGTAGGTTCAGTGAGTTAATATGTTGTGGTTGGTATATAGAGTATATGTGGAACTCACGATAAAGGGCATGGCCGGGACGTAGGAGAATAGGAGACGAGATCGGCTGGAGGTCACATCGGCGATTAGAACTTCGACGAGAAGCATAATACTGGTGTATCCGATCTAGACAATATTAGACAAAACTGAGAGTTTATGGGCGCATATCGCATATCTCACCTGGTAGATAACAGCCCCCGCAGCAAAGCCCTCCAAACTCGCTGCGCATGACTCCACGATAGTACCCACGGTATAGAAGACTATCGAGACAAGGATAAGTTCTACTCTGCCGAACACATCTGCAACCTTCGCCGCAGTAGGCTGGGAAGGAATAGGTCAGTTGGTGTGATGAATTGTTGGTCCCTGGGTTTCCTTACCTGCGCAGCAGCAGCGATGACGGCTCGAAGAACATTGATGGTCGCAAGAAGACTGTGTTTGCCGTAACCCTGAGTAGCATAAGGCTATCCAAAACATGCCATGTCAGTATACGTTATTCACGCCGATATGTCTTGCCGTCAGAAATGCGAGATACGTACCTGATATGTGTAACGAACAGTTCCATCCAAGCCGTACACATAAGCAATCAAGAAAATGGCAAAAAACAGACAGATCCGATCAGAAAAACGGAAGTACGATGTAATAACTTCGATGCGACGAACACCCGGACTGCCTTGACCCAGCAGATTGGCAGGCTCATCCAGCGGCACGGCTTCGTTGCGAGGATTCTTCGAGTCTCCACTGATGCAGTGATCAACGTTCATCTCATGAATGAGCGACATGATGATCGTGCAGAATGAGAATCACACGACTAACAGATCACCTATTTAGAGAAGAAGAAAAAGAGCATAGGGGAAAACAGGAAAAGAAAGAAGACATGATTGCCAAGAGCCGAAAAAGTCTAAGATAAAACCGCCCACTCAATCTTATCTGATGGGCCAATCTTCCAAGGTTGGAAGTGCCGAGGCGCGCTAAGAGCGTTTGTCTAAGAAATACACCACTCATAGGGCTTAGATGAGCCCCCACTTCGCATTCAGCCGTGGCTCAGGGTTATTATTTGATAGGAATCTCGCTCTAGACTTGCCTAGTGTCTTGGAATAATATCTCTTCCAGGGTGCTTTTACACTAGTGGATATTATATCGGATGACTGCCTATTCTACTCGTATCTCCGGATCGAATGTGGTATTTACAACTGTTTAGTTATACAACATTGGCCCGACATCGGCTTTCATATCAGAAACATATGCTCTTTTAACCCCTGATCACATGATATGTATACACCTGTAATAATAGCTCCTTTCAATGTTTTATAGATGGATGTCATTTCATAAATTAAATAACACCATCCTTCCTCAACCCTTTTACTTTTCCTGCTAGAGTGGGGTCCTTCTGTTTTAGGAACTCCACAAAGCTATCCATCATAACGGTCTTCATGGTATTCCGCTCCTTCCATGGCTCAACCTGACTTGGCACTGTCGGTCCTGTATATACCTTCGTCGGATGTTCCCGCGCCTGTAGCCAGAAATTTTGAAGCACCACAGACTGCAGCATTAGCATAGGATAGAGCTCGCTCCAGACCAGGTTACCCAGAATGCGCATTCGACCCGGATATTCGAAGACTTCACCCTGGGAGTCTTCATTGGCCGTGTCGTCTGCAATTTTGTTTGCAGTGGCGCTATCATCGAAGTCTGCGTCGACAGCCAGGACATGGCCTTGGAAGTCCCCTTTAAGGAAGCCTTTGTCCTTTGTGAAAGAGGCGCGTGATTTCTCGTCGATATATGAGCCCATGCCCATGTTATCGATGAGAAGGAAAACAGAAGGTGCTATTTTATGGGTCCACTCGTCTGAGGACCGGATTTCTTGGAAGTGTCTATGTGCAGCGTTAGTCTTTTGCCCAAATATTGCGATGGGAAAGATAAGGGTTATCGAACCTCCTTGCCGATGTTACGGGGTTAAATGTCTCGAAGCCTAGTTCCTTGCAGTCGAACCAATGCAGTTTGAGCAGTGGTTTCAGCTCGTCGGCGCCCTGGACATCGTCACTCCATGCCGACAAGTGAGCTTCCAGGTCCCGCTTTAGACTTTCCCACTGCTCATCGGAGAACATGTGCGTTGCGCGGTAGATTGCTAATCCGAAGCCATAGTTCTGTCTCTCCCACGGCTGTAGGCTCAAGCTCGCCTCGTGCGCCCGAAGGAGTTTCTGGATCCAGGGCTGTACAGGTGGCTGCGGAGACGGCGTTCGGCCACGTATCTTTTCACGCAGTTCATCCTGTACTACCGTGCTGATAGAAATGCGCTCGCGGCGGGCTGCGTCACTTCGATTCGCGCTTGGACCTTGAACCGTCGCAGCCTCCTTCTGAGCCTCGATACATTCCGTGAGTCGGTCAACTATGAGCTTGGAAAACCCGTAGTTCTTGCCTTGGTTCTCCAGGTCCGGATTGTGTAGCCCAGCGATGATCTCGGAGGGCGGATGGTAGCCGTTATACCCATCCATGGACAGCCAAATATTGAAATCTGCCATTGTAACGACGGAAATTAGGTCGCTCCACCGCTGTGAGACAACCGCCATTTCTGGGGCATCTGGATTTTCACCCGGGATCGTACTGAAGCCGTCCAATACCTGTTCACGTAGTTCGGCAACGCGGGCCAGGACCCAGGAATGGGCGGTGCTGGTCATGACTTCGTACTGTGCGCGAATGAATTGTTCCCAAAGAGCAGTAAGGTTAATCTCAGGAGAAAGGCCACCTTGGGCCTTGCGCCGGGTATTCAAGGCCTCCTGCATTTCTCCCAAGTCACCAGATATTCCGTTGAAGGTGTCGCACATGTTAGTGCGGATCTGAGGAATGTTTAGGTACTCAAAGACGGCAATGACGGAGGTCAAGTACTCATGGGCGATCGTGAAATGGTCCGGGTTGTTGAGATCTTTTTCGTGCCACCGCGATGCGGGCACGGGGGCAAGACCTCCCCAGAGGCGACTTTTAAGAAATTGTATATTCTGCCCAATTCGACACAGCCCTTTCAAATCCTCCCGGTCTGTGGTCTGCTGCATCGCCTTCTCCACAATTGAAACAGTGGCCTTGTTGAACGGCGCAGGCGCCCACTCTGAACTTGGAGCCATGAACAATGGGAATTCATCTTCATTGAGTAAAGCTAAGTCGGTCTTCTTCCCGTTCGGTAGAATACCATACGTTATGAATTCAATAAAATGCAAGACAGCTTGCGGTTCAATCAAGGCATCCACTGATGTTGTTAGCGAGGTGACAGCAGCGCACTAGTAGGACCGTACCAACTGGTGAGTCCTGGTTCATCCAATGTTTCTGCGTGATGCTGGATCCTTCGTAGGTGGTAACGTCGAGAATGGAAGCATTTGGTTTGACTGATGAGTCAGAATCTGTATGGAGGTATCGCGAGATTTTGGCCAGTGTTGCGCCGGACCGAGGCGTGAGGTTCCGTGTATTGCGATGTGCCACCAAGCCAGTACGGGCACTGGTGTTCGCAATGCGCGGTATCGCGTGGGAAGATAACCCCGCGAAAACACGGCGGTTTACCTGTGGCAGGCTTCGGGAAATTCTGGCCGCCATGCTGCCTTGTATGGATGTGATCAGCGGGCTTGCAGATGGATGGCGATCTCAGGAGATAAGTTCGGGGTAGTCGAGCCCCTTTTAATCAGCCGCAAAAAGCTGAGTTAGTGCTAGCCGATCAAAGTTAGCCCACTTAATCCAATTTCTAGCGCGCGTTCTGGCTGCGATATTAATTTCAAGACCTTTCTTGTGTGTAGTATAATATCGACTAGAAAGTAATTTGATCTAGATATTACATATCATCATCGGGATTACCCTCGTGCGTAGCATTCACTTGGTCTTCAAGTTCACATAGTATTTTGTGTATATCATGTGTACATCCATTTCATGCTGCTAGAGATTCAAGTATCGCGCCGTTTTGCAACAGTTTACGGTTTGATCCTTGTTTGGGTTCGGAAGGTTCCGTTGGGACGATATGACATGTGTTGGTATTTTTGGGTCAGTAATAATACATAGCATTTCAGCTGTCCGTTTTCGCTCCAAACCGAAACATGATCTATATTACAGGAGTACAGGGGTAATCATATTTGGAAATGGGGTAAACCCTTAGAGCGAGCGATCTGGGTGCTTCGGCATCCTCGGGCTCTGGGGCCCGGTTGGGTTTATTACGTAATCACAGACCCGACAGCTGCCCGCACCGCCCCTGCCACATGGTCAATCTTGGCCCGACGCGCCTACTGGTGGACTGCAGATGTTCCAAGGTTTGACCAAAACATTCAGATTACTATTGAACTCTCTGGATCACAAATTCTGCATCTAGGGCGCCTCTGTCAATTTTCCCGCCGGAGCTTTGGTTGATGATCTTTCAGTATCTTCGCGAGGAAAGCCCACAAAACAGGTCTTGGGAAAGAAAAGAACCAATATCTCTATTCTCCCTTTACCTCATGTAAATGCTGAGCAAGCACTTGACAAGGCCACTGTCCTTCGATATTTAAGGTCTCGAATCGCTTAAATCCCTGAGACTCATAGTATTGGACCAACTTCCCATCGCCACCAGCATAGCAATCCACCCGCAGTAAAGAGGCTCCAGCCCCGTTAGCGAGGTTGCGCGCATGCTCCAAAAGACGTTTGCCAATCCCGTTACCAGCCCATTGTCGGTCTGTGACTAATAATCGCACGTAAAGCTCAGGCTCAGAGACAGGTGCCACATAAGGCATCCTCTCTCCAACAGCAAGTGCTCCTATGATAGATCCTGGAGCTTCTCCGTCCACAGTTCTGGGGAGTATATTGGACGGTCGACTTTGATCTATCGGCGTGCCATCAGCAACCTTGACGGCGAGCCAAAGGCCATGACCGGTTGTTGCAAATTCCTTGAGTTGTTCAGCACGTCGTGGATTCTCTGAAAACGGTCCTGCTCCCCACTGCCCAGTTCTGTCATGCGATACCAGCCACTTGACTGCGGTATCTAGGAGATGGAGGACCGCCGGAACGTCGTCCACTGTTGCCCGTATGATAGCAATGTCCTGAGGTCCACTATGAATAGTACTTCTAAGACTTTTAGTGAATATCGGTGAATGGGCTTGCGCTTTTGTTCTTCATTGATCCCCTTCTCATCTACTTCTTGTTGGGTGGGTTGACCCTGCGAATAATAGTACTTACTCTGACGCCATTTATGCAATCAATCAGAATGGATATGAAGAGAGGTAGTTGTAAAAATCGAATAGCCTCAATATACTGAAGATTTCAAGAACATCCGAACAAGGCATCACCCTGTTCTTATACCAATATTTTACTTCACTACGCTAAGGGAAGAGCCTCTCTCAACCGGTCTCACTTTCGGGCCATGTGTCCAAATCCCATTGGCTCAGACTGCTTGTTTCGGGGTATTAGCGTACGGAGGTCGGCTATGGTGTAAATAATCCATGTAGTAAACACCAATAAACTCCCAGCATTTCTAAGTGCGTCATAAATGCCTCGTGTTAGGTGAACACTCTAAGGGTGAAATATGGCTGAGTGGTTTGGCTATTGGCATACACGGGAGTGGTCTAATTGAATCCAATACCTTACCAGAGATGAGTATTGAAAGAAAGTATCATGGATGCGTCTAACAATTCACAGTAAAGCAGATTATCAAATATATACACGAGCAAAATTATCCTCTACAAAACGTCGGGTCTCCTAGATGGATTCTTTACTCCTGCTAGCTAGTCAACATTCATGACTATTTCTCCAGACTCTTCGCTATTGATTATAAAGTGAAGTTGTGCTACTGAAACAAGACTGCGCCATAATTATTGCCTAGAGATTGAAGAAATCTACTCTTCGTTTGAAAACATATATCATTATCAAAGTCGTGACCTGAAGGAAACTTGAGGTCCAATCGCCGAAGGCAAGCTATCCTGACTGAGACGATTCATCTCGGGGTCATAAAGCGACTCTGTCTCAACAGTCGCCTTGATGCGCTTTCCGAAATACTCAATCTCCACAGTCTCACCTTCACTCACACCCCCAGGAAGCCAGGCGTACGCGATCGGTTTTCCAATCGTGTACCCAAATGCAGCGGTGGTTACATAACCAGCCGCTTTGCCATTGTAGAAAACGGGCTCCTTGCCTAGAATCATCGAGCGGCCGTCATCAACCGTCAAAGCCCGCAGTCGCCGCAAAGGTGCTTGGCTAGAAAGGCGTTGAAGGGCGGCTTTGCCGACAAAGTCATCTTTCTTATTTGCGTCCACGGCATAGGAAACACCAGCTTCGAACGGATTGTGCTCTGTCGTCATATCCGCACCGTAGGTCCGGTATCCCTTCTCGAGGCGCATTGAGTTGAACGCACTACGGCCTCCAGCAATGAGTCCGTGCTGCTTTCCAGCTTGATAAATCGTGTCCCATAGGCGTTGGCCATTCTCGGCGCTAGTTTGGATTTCCCAGCCTAGTTCGCCGACATAGGACTTTCGGATCATTGTAACTGGGATACCCGCCAGAACTGCTTTCTTCAGACTGAAGTATGGTAGGCCCTTGTTGGAAACGTCGACCGTGCTGATTCCAGCGATAACATCCCGGGCTCTAGGACCCCAGAGTCCGATGCAGCATGTGCTTCCTGTAATATCGCGAACTTGGATCCATTTCCCTGGGATCCTCTGTTCCTGGACTCGAGCTTCTCTGGTAAGATACGCCAGGTCGGTTGCGGTGTTCGCTCCAATCTGGAACACATCATCCTCAAGTCGTAATACAAAGATGTCACCCCGAATTTTTCCATGGTCATTCAGGAGGAGAGTATAAGTAACAGTCCCTGGCTTAGTGGTAATATCACTCGTAGTCAAGCGCTGAAGTAGACCGACTGCCCCAGGACCTGACACTTCGAACCGATGGAAAGCAGTCATATCAAACATAGCAGCGGCATTCCGCGTCTTCCACGCCTCGGCAGCAGAGATAGGCGAGTGAAGCTGTGCCGACCAGGCATCCCGATCGACAGGCTTCCATGATGGCGGGAGAGATTTAACAAGATCTTTGTTTTCCTCATACCACCACGGCCGCTCCCAACCTCCAGTCTCGAAAAAGACAGCACCCAGCTCGCGCTGGCGGGCGTAGAATGGACTAACACGCAAATTGCGAGGCGACGCCCGTTGCTGAAGTGGGTGGATAATGTCATATATTTCAACAAAGTTCTGCTGTCCGGTCTCGGTTACGTAGTCTCGGTTGAGTTGGACTTCTTCGAAGCGGGATAGCTCGCATTCAGATACGTCGATCTCGGATCGTCCGGTTGTGAGGATTTGTGCGAGAGCTCGGGCGACGCCTGCTGAGTGTGTAACCCATACGGCTTCGGCTACGTAGAAGCCGTCGAGGTGGGATGGTTGGCCGAGCAGTGGGCCGCCGTCAGGTGTAAAGGAGAAGACGCCGTTAAAGCCATCCGCGATCTCTGTGTCCTGAAGAGCGGGGAGGAGGGTTTGAGATTCTTTCCAAGCTGGGTCGAAGTCCTCGGTTGTGAACTCGAGGCGGGAGGGCATGTTCTGTTCATCAACATCTTTGGGAGTGAGCCCTAGCGATGACGCGACGACGGGCATTGGACGGTGTCCGTAGTATCCAATGCCGTACTGGCCGCCATGTTCACGGTAGTAAAGACGCTTATCCTGGTGTCGCAGGATTGGGAGTGAGGCATTCATTCCATTAGGTAAGCTGTTGATATCTCGCCCAGCGAGAGCGGGTACTGCCGTAGTCTTTGCATACTGGTGAGCTAGCGGGAGCAAAGGAATATCCACGCCTACCATGGCCCCCAATTCAACACCCCAGAACCCAGCGCAAGAGACAACAATATCTGCTGGGATAGTGCCACTTGGAGTAGTGACTCCGGTAATACGACGGCCATCCCGCTCAATTCCCGTTACGGGAGTATGGCCTAGATAGCGAACACCGGCCTCGCTTGTTCGTTCGATGAGCAGCTGTGTTGCTCGGGCTGCTAGTGCGAGGCCATCAGTGGGGATGTGCAGACCGCCCAGCACCATCTCGTTGTTCAGATGAGGATACATCTTGAAGCATTCCTCAGCGCTGACTAGCCGGGCATCGATGCCCCATGATGAGGCATATCCATGTTTCCGCTTCAAATCCTCCAGTCGTGCGGGGGTGGTTGCTACTTCAAGACCGCCTACTTGATTGAAACATTTGTGTCCGTCCTTCTCTATCGATAGGAGCTTCTCGACTGTGTATCGCGCGAGGTGTGTCATTGTCTTCGAGGGGCTTGTCTGGAATACGAGTCCGGGGGCGTGTGACGTCGATCCGCCCGGCATGTGCAACGGACCCTGCTCGACAACAGTGATATCGCTCCATCCTCGAGAGACCAGCTCGTCGGCGAGGTTGGTACCCACGATACCAGCCCCAATGATGACAACTCGTTGTGAAAGCGACATTACTATATGATTGTTAATATGATACATCCAGTAGAAAGCGGCAGACACTCGTTCTATTTGTATATTCACATAGTTCATGAGTTGTACAATGTGTGACACTCTCGTACACTTGTTCCCATACCCCTCATCGGTGTGCGGTAATTATGTAGTGTATATTGAAGCTGAAGATAAAGATATTACGCCCCGCACGGGTTCCGGCGATGTAAAGCCGAAAATGCCAGTAACAAACACGGGTGGCATTTACCAGAAATCGGAATGGAGGGGTATAACATTGGCTGCCCCACATTGATATAGATAATGAAGCTCATCAGGTCAATGATGATTGGCGAACCAGCTCGATGTGGCGCTTTTTCGGTTGACAATGGATAACATTTCCTTTTCGGGTCACGGGTCCTAATTTTAGTATGAGGGGAAGCGTCATAGCTTTCTCACTATAGTTGGATTTTATTCATATTTATTTCTATAGACTGAGTAGTTATCCCGTCGTAGAAAGCTGGTATATAGTCCGCGGTTGTCCTTTCAAGGTTGGTTTTGAGGACTGATACTGTGTTTCAGGTGACAACAGACGCCGGAGTGGAAAATCAAATATCCGTATAATCCTCACAGGCGACGGAGTCCAGAGACATATATATTTCACCATTCAACCGATAGCTACTATTTGGATTTATTTCGATGTTGCATGGCAGTTGATACAGCGGCTTCGGTGTAAAACACAACGTCTATAGGGCAACGGAAAAAAGAGTGAGAACAGGCTGGAATTATGACGACTATGTACTGATCCTCCGGACTAACTCATCTACGGCCCTAGTCTTTACAGTCGAGCTTATCCCGAGGTCACTATTAGGTTCCTCAACGGGCCTTCCAAGACAAGAGATTGAATAGCAAACACGTTGGATTTAAGCAACAGTATCCGAGCTTTAGGTCGGGATCTAACACATCTGTATATATTTAGTTTCGAGCTAGCTATTTGTAGTAAAGAAAATAGCCGATCGGGCAATAAACTGTTAGTTGTGAAGCATTGTCATTGGCAGCACATTCCAACATAATGGACGAAAATGATGCAATCGCCATTTTATGGCCTCTGATTGGTCAATATGAAAATGGATGCAAGGGTCTTTTCGATGGAGGCGTAGAGTATACAAAGGGTTGTATATAGCTTCAGATATGAGATATATCGTCTACTTCTCTGTCTACATTCTATGAACCTTTCTAATACCAAATAATATCCTCAAAGAACAATGTAACCCCATACTATGCGGGGCAAAATAATTGACGTTCGGCTGGAGCCGATCGCCGGGGAACCCAACAAGAAACAATCCCTGCTTTTGGACTTTCACTCTTTCTCAGGACAAACTCCTCAGCTTGAAGACATCCAGCAATGTTATCGCATAGATTCCACGTCCATCTCTCATCATGATCGAGCCTGGCAAAGCCCTTGTTCCTGAGGAACCGCCTAACGCAATCCTGACCGACTCCCGCCCGACAGCCGACACCCGCGATAATGACCGCGAAGCATTAGAGCTCCATTCGATCCAAACGCAAGAAGACAACGATTTGGACTACTCGACCCCATCCGGTTCGTCTGGCGACGAGTATCGTGTGTCTATACATCGGACTACATCCCAAGCGGATTCCCGGCGTAAACGCGAAGCCCGCAATGGCCTTTGGGGCCAGATCTGTCGCTTCTGGACTCGACAGGTCATTATAACCGTGCCACAGAAGAGCAATCGAGATCACTTCGGCAAGTTGTACTGTGAACACGCTGTTGGCACTCTAACTGACATCACCAAAGCCCTAGAAAGAACATTCCTTGCGTACATCCGCACGTCCACGGTTATCGCTATGCAAGGGGTACTCGTTGCGCAACTTTTCCGTCTACAACGGCCGTCGCAAACAGTCGATCGCCTGTCGTTTCACGAAGTCGGTATCCCTCTTTCGGTTGCCTGTCACGTTGTGGCTGTTGTCGTCGCTTTGATAGGTGCGTTCCGGTTCTGGAGACAACAAAATGCTATTACTCGCGGGAAAGTATATGCTGGAGGGTGGGAGTTAAACTCGGTGGGAATTTTATTATTTATTGTAAGTTCTCCCTAGAACGATGCTCGGGCTCTGAATTCTAACCAACCCCCTACCTTCAGGTTATCTTGGCGAGCTTGGTTCTTATTGTTATCATCTCGATCCAAGTCAGTTTGAGCCCCAGTGCCCTGCCTTATCGAATATTATGGTCGTGAAATACCTTCTATGATTTTACCACACTGGCTAGACATGCATTTACATAGCGAAGGAAAAATTCACCCCAGAGATGAGCATCTTATTGAGCATATATAATTCTGACGTCATTATATGGTCCCCATATTTTAACCTACATTGCCGATCAAATCTGCCTCTCATTTGTGGATCACACTGTCATTTCTATCCCAGAGCGTTTCCATCATTGAAGTCAACCGGAATAGGTGTTGTCCAAGAAAGCTGCATGCGGAGCCAGCCAGTTGGTCTTCAATACCCAGCTATCCCACAGAACCACCCCATAGTTCCAAAGTGTCCGCATGTTAGATCTCCTAATAGACGTCAAACCGAACTCGTGCAGTGATGACCCTGGCATATCACTAATCCTTTACGCCGCTGCCAATTTCTGTGCCCTTCGATCCCACATGACTTGGGTGCTGGAGATGGACCACAAAGCTGTCATTTGCTGGTCGAATTAATTGAATACGGCGATGCGAAGTAGCCGATTAAAGCCATTGGTCCGACAGCTCGTCCACTGTCATCGTCTTTTTGAGGATTTGACTAGATTTTCCAGGACCAACGATATTGCAACTGGACATCCAACCCAGGGCTTGGTTAGAAGTCTACTATACATTTAATGGCAGAACAACATGCTGATACATAATCTGGGATATATCAGACTGCTGTTACACAGACCCGCTACCGTTCCGCCCGCTGGGGCAAGAAAAAAGAAGTGTACGTTGGATGCAAGTGTTTCGATTCAAGCACAATATCCTCACGGTCTCAGCCTCTACTTCCTACTGGAAGTAGACCTCTGCATAGCCCATAAAGCCCATAGCCCAACCCAACCCAACCCACTAATGGGTTGGACTTTGGGCCCACCCTTCGAGCCCATCGGCCGGCTATGGCCCTCATTATTACCCAAACAATACAAACATGCCAATTTATCGCAGCTGTATAATTAATGCATTTTTTTTCCTGTTCTTTGGGGGTATTGAAATTACCGTTCAAGCCGTACATGAAGCTGTACATAAATCACTTATAAATTAACTAATAGGACTGATTGATTTGATTTTATCTATAAGATATTAAGTAACTAATACTAGGAGGCCGAAAAGCATATTTATATACTACATACTAAGAATACTTATATATATCATCCTCAATTCGCATCCTCTTCCTCCCTAATATACGCAGTTGAGAAGAAGCAGATATTAAGAGAGAGAAAGGTAGGTTGGAAGATATAAATAAGAATCAAAATTGATTTTCATAAAGCTTTACTTTTTCATAAGAGGTACTTATTTTTAGTAGGGGTTTACATAGTAAGTAGAGGTACCATAAGTATTACTACAATTAACCATAGAAAGTGGTATCAATCCTCTATAGATAATATATATCTCTTCATACTAATACTTAGTAATTCCTTCTAGGTGCGAATTCATGGTCAAATTGGATCTTTTTGGGGTTATTTTGTATGAAATTTTGTATGAAACCTGGCATTATAATGCTAAAATCAGTATAAATCCACTTAATTCCTACTTCTTACTATGATAATATAATAATACTGAAGATATAGGTTGGTACCTGCGTAAAATACAGTTATTAATCATCTACTTTATGTATGCCAAGACTGTATTTGTGCACATAAATGGGCTTTTGATGGGCTTTGATGGGCCCCCATTAATGGGCTATGCAGAGGTCTATCCCTTATTCTGCACCTTGGCACCCTTACGCCGCTCCGCACTGAAAGTTATATCACGCCTTCCTCAAGAGGCTTTCCCTTTCTGGTCATTTCGTCATTCCTGTGGCGTCTTCTGATCTCAGGCTCGACTCATCACCCTCTTGAGTTTTCCTCTATTTAATCCCTACCCTTACAATCGACGACTTGCCCGACATAGGCACACCACATTGCGAAAAAGCATGGCGCTTCCCGAAGACATCCAACGAGCTTCGGTGATCGCCCTTTGTGCAAATCCGGTACCTGCCAACATTGTCAGCCAATATGGAAAGCGTGTTATCAAGATATCCGATCACGAAGTGGTGAAGTGGGGCCCGGATATAACGAAAGAAGAAGCCGATAATCAAAGGATAGCCTATGGGCTTGTGAATAGTCGCATAGTCCGTGTTCCACGCGTGTATGATTTCTTTTCTGATAAGCGGGGCTGGGGCTACATTGTGATGGAGTATATAGAGGGGAGAGTCATTCATCCATTGGAGGATTCAGCCGCCCTTCAAAAGGTTGTCGACGTGCTTGATTATTTTGCAACATTACGGCACACTAATCCTGGCTCTCTATGTGGAGGACCTTGTCGTGGGCTTCTCTTTCCCGAAACTGAAGATTTGCTATTCGATGATCTTGACGAGATGGAGAAGTGGTTCAATAGCCGGCTGTTGCCAGATAACCCGAAGTTGTCTTTCCAGGGCTGTAACCTCGTGCTCTGTCATTTAGATATCGCGCCTCGAAATATCTTGTAGCAAAAAGATGGATCTCTTTGCCTTGTTGACTGGGCATCCGCCGGTTACTACCCAAGGCTTTTTGAGTTTTCCGTGCAGTGGATTGTTGAAGGAAAAGACGGCATATTCAATTCCCTTCTCTTGGAATCGGTCAATCCTCTATCAGCCCAAGAGATGGCGCAGAAAATGTCAATCCTATGTGCTTGGCGAAACATTCAAAAGTATCCTTTGTATGTGCGAAGAAGTCCGGCTTCTTATGGATTGAAACTCATCCTACTCTAAGCCAAAACGGACATTAGAAATCAGTTCAAAGATCATCAGGAGATTTGATACCTGTGCCCCCCTCCAATGCCAGAATACCCACCCGAGTGGTATGAACAGGCTCAGGACGAATCCTTTTCTCCCAAAAGTCACACACTTGTCGCTCCTTCAAGCTCGGCTCCAGAAGATGGAAAACAAAACAAAGTCTATAATTTCCTTGCTCGCCATTTACGCTATCTGTGTTCAATATTTGTTCCACGCGGTAAGCTATCTGAAACTGACTAGCATCAGAGCTTTTGCAGACGGCTACCTACAGAATGGAATGACTACAGTATCGCAATCACAACATTCATGTCCGACCTAGGGCACTATTAGAACGAGCATTGCCTTTCTACGGTACTAAGCTATTATCCGTGCCGAACATCATATGAATGGAAGGTATATGGTTGTTACATATTACAGTACATGATGGGCCTGGAAGCTTCCTTTATAGCAATATCTGAGACGGAGTTTCGCTTGGTGAAACTGCCAGCTACGACTACGGGAACTGGGAACATAGGAGAGAATGGTTAAATGGATGAGTTGGTCATGAATGGGCTGGATGTTGTTTCGCTCGTCCATTGTATGTAATGGTGTTGTCAGAAGGATAATGTCAGCCATCTGGACCTTCAATACTCAGGCCTGCGTGTCGAAAATGTCATTTAGCACTGTCTTCCTTTCCCCTAACCTGATTAATACACATCTCTAGAAAGGCACCGAAATCTTGGACAGGGTCTTCGGTGTAGCAAAGGACTCTTCAATAGGATTCTAGTCCGTGGAGTACGGAGCCAAATAAACCAGTTTGACTCCCGCGTTGGGATACATCTCCGTAATTGGCTCAGAGTGATGAAATGATACATTATCCAGTACTATAATAAACCGGCTCCGGCCATCTTTCGTAGTGATGAAGAAGCTCATCGATGGAATCTTCGAACACAGCGGCATCCGTGGAGCCGAGAAAGAAACGAGAAAGCAAGATACCATCTTGAGAATGCGCAGGTCGGATCCGATAACGCTCGTCAGGATGGAATTGAGGCACTTGCCGAGGTGCTACACTGAGCGGTGAAAAAATTGAGTGGAAATCAAACTATGCACCTGATTCGATGGTGTATTCGCCCATCGCCTCATTTTACCTCCAATACCCTTTATATAAGCCCTGGTGAATATGATAAAAGATCACAGTCGCCAATTTTGATCAGAATTTTGTATTTCAATTCCTCTACGCTTACAGTACGTATTCCACGATATAAGTGTGCAATTTTCAACTTAGCTACTATGTACCACACGGGCAATCACGATAATTTGTGTGCGTGATTATATTTGAATCATAACCTTAGCCATATCTGATACTCGATTTGGATTGGACTAGTAAGCGGGGCTGGTGTGAAAATTGTACTATCCTCTATTCATAACTTCTAATTACAATTACTCGTGGAAGTGATCTCTCCAGGACTCTTCACCCAGAGACCGATGTCACCTACGAACCGTCTGGCAGCGCCTATCTTCACACCATGCGTAACAAAGAAACTTGGGTCTTGGTCCTCATAAATCTGCATGAGGTCGAGACAGTTCTCAAGGGTCACATCGCGTGCTTTGTTGATGTTATTCTTGAATTTCTCGTTGGTTACCCGCGACTGCTGCCATTCCGTATATTCATTTACAGCAACATCAAGGAACCCGTGGATCGTGATTGGTTCAATAGAGTCAGGTTTAGCAAGCACAGCTTTATGGATAGGCAAAGTAGACAATGATATTTGAGACGACCCAAAAATCCCTCCCACTCCCCCCAGCCTGTTGGAGGCTCGTGCTACGTTGAATTACCTGTACCAACAATGGGCGTATTGGTTGCAGTGTGTCATGCTACGTGGTATGAAAATCACGTCGGAGGAAATACCACACTATGAAGGGAAGCATACAGGGAGGATTGCGTTTTGTTTTTTCGCCATAACTTGAATTGGAAATGCCTCGGATGAGACACTTAGTATCAAAAACCATGTCGGGAGGTGAGAATTGAACAAACAGAGCTTTGTAGACGTAAGAAGTAGTCGCCTAGTATAAAGTTTTAGAGCAGACGAACCATGCCAAGACATCATATGATATTTATAGCCGCTAAACAAAGAAATACATGGCTATGGTATAGATTATACCTCGATGTAGACTAACCACTTTCGTATCTCACAACTCGGTGTTATTGTACTACATACGTATGCAGTCAATTTCATGGGATACTCTAGCGATCACGGATACAACATGAAGCTTAGCGCTGGCGTAACCATGGATTCTCTAAGGCTGATCACAGATCTGATGTTATACCCCACCGAAATTCCGTGCTCGTCACAAAAAAGTCATACGTACCCCTCATCTTATAGAGGTAGATTATTCGACGAAATAACCAAAGACCCATCGAAATAAAACTACCCCCCAGCTATCTCAAACTAATATCAAGCCGCGGAACAAAAATTGACCTGTACCTTCGGTCTCGGTTCCGAATAATCCATCCGAGACCGTTTCAAATAAAACAGCCCCATGCAAGTCCTGTAAGGCGAGATGATCATCCATGCGCCCAATTCTGCTTTCCGACTTTTCCGCCAGACACGTAGTGAACATCAATGATCCTGCCTCTTCGGGCATTCGGACCAAGACATCTCGAAACCACGCGTCCTTCTCGTAGAAGACACAGTATTGGATCGGCGGGCGATGCCTCACCGAAATACTACATGCTCCATACACCGTACTTTATATCAATCTATGTACGTTGTTGTACCTTATTGCAGGCCCAGCCGTCCACTCCGAACCGGACCCCCTCGGTCCGCTCGCGGAGCAAACTGGATCCCGCACCCAATGTTCAAAGCGGATATATACCGGATCTCGTCTCAGCTCAGCAACCCTGAACCTTGAAAATATGGAATAAGATTTCGTCAAGACGGCTCATCCTCCGTATGATAACCCACATGGTATCGCAGAAACCCACAGTGGGAATCACGAGGGGGTAGACGGTTCTCGGATTGGCAGATATGACAGGAAGATATACGGAGAATCGGAGGAGGGATGTGGACACTTGTCCCATTGCTCACAGACATCCCTCTCCAGAAAGCGCCCAGATAGAGTGGTATATGGTTATATCGGCAATTGGTACGAATGCGAATACTCGGTTAGGGTCTTGGCGCGCATTGGGCCGCTCGGATACCCTAGAAAGGCGTTGCTTTATGAGGGTGGGCTGCTTGGCAGTGGCGATCCAGCCTTATTCCTGGTGTTCGTATGGCTTGGCGGCTTTCAGGGGAAATGATATGGTCGATGTGGCTTGCTTTTGGTAATACCGTATTTGGATTGATTACTGTAGTGGGGTCTGGCGTTGGCGGTCTTATTCGGAATTAAGACTTTGTCGTGCCCCCTTTCTCTTCTTTTGGGTTAAGGTATTGAATGTTCAGCACGAGTCATGCGTGAGACTGGGGGCGTCTGGGCTTTTAGGCAAGCAGTGTGGCTGACGTGGTACGTTGGTACTTGCAAGGGTTGATTTTGGGATTTGGAATTTATATAAGTCATTCGGGTATTGATTTTTATGTTCATATGTACATCCGAAATTATCCACAGTCACCGATAATCCTCGGCTTGATTGTCTCCATTTCGTAGAGAAGAAAACCCGGAAAAGAGAGACGGGTAGGAAAAAAAAAAAAAACACCAATCATGATCTAAACAAGTATGATAAAAATAGGCCAAAAGGAAAGAATCAAATGGTGAATCATCGAAAGGAAATGCAATGCAAGATATGAGAAAGTAAATGTAACAGAGTGACATATAGACACTTGACAGGAAGCTCAGGCCGCCAGGGCATCGCTTCTTAAGAAATCATTTCCACGTCTTTACCACAACGCTCCAAAATTAAGCTGTCGGCATAGGAATGCTAGTCATGGGCAGTTGGGGTGGAGCTTGTTCACTCTCCTCGAACATCCACTTCTCCAATTTTTGCGCCATGCGCGCACAGAAGGGGTCAACATATCCAGTCCACAAAGTGGCGCAGAAGTATACCAACACGATCCAAGCCGGGATACTGATAGCCACGACCCAAGGGGCGCGAATGGGAATCCAGTGCGGGTGAAGAGGTTCGCCGTCCTCGCCGTAGATCGGGTTACCCTTTTCGTCGACGATATCACCGTCCCATGGCTGACCGGTGATTCCGTAAAGCATCCAGCACAGAACGGTGCGGAGGAGAGTGCCGTGCACGAGGTAAACGGCGAAACTCTGCTTGCCTAGCCAGAGTAGGAGACGGCTGGAGAGGAATTCCTTGGTGGAGGGTGAGATATAGATGGCGAAGATTATCAGGTCGACACCCAAGGCGGAGTAGCGTCTCCCGACGTTGACCTTCGGGGGGAAGAGGTAATGCGAGGCCTGTTCCATGTAGGTCGACCATGTGGCCCATTCAGGGTGTTCGCCGGGGTATGAGCAGATGAGGAGACCGAGGCAGAGGAGGAGGCCTGCTACGATCTTGCGACCCCAGCTGTGGCGTTCGACGAATTCTTTGAAACCGTTCTCATACGAGAGATCGCTGAGGAACATGCCGTAGACAGCTTGCATTTGGAAGGTTTCTGTTCCTTCGTTAGTACCAGGGTAGGTATTGAGGTTTCAAGTAGAACTTACCTGTGTTTTTGGCTGCATTCTGGTGGAAGTAGAGGTACATTCCTAGGTAGATGGCCACGCGGAATCGGAACTTGCAGAACATTGTT